TTCGAAACGAAATTCAAGCATTGGATTACTTCTAAATTAATGACTTTTTCACCATAAACCAAAATTCATAATCATTAACATTCAATGCAAATAATACATTTCTCATGCCAATTACAACATTTAACTAAACGATATAGTAGAATGGATTCAATCTGTTTCCTACTAATGATATAAACGTATACCAGTACCATCGTTGTACCCTGACCTGCCATTTCATATGAGTTACTTTGTAATACCACTGCATTTTATAAATACCCATAAGGGCATTACGAAACCAAGTTTAGTAAAAATTCTTCATATTCCACTTCGAAGAATCCATTTCAAAAACAGGAGAGTTTAACATGTCAAATCATTCATTTGACAAAATCTCAAACCACTATTAATCAATGTTATATAAAGGCAAGTAACCCAAAATTTATAACTTATGGAATAATCCCAAATCATTATCAATTAATGTCTCAACTACCTGATGTGCAGAATAGCTCTGGAGTTGTACTGTTTGCGTTGGTCTACCTTCAAACATAGCCACATTACGAACCAAAGCAATTAAGCAAAAATCTTCATATTCCAAGTAGAACGACTCAATTCAATTTGGCCAACGCTTTATACATATCGGTTACCCCTAGACCTATTGCACTTGTTGCCTTCAGATCTTCATGAACACAATACAATTGAGGAGAGGAGGCTGCCAATGGAGTGGAGTGTGTTAATTAAGTGAATCATCATACGACTGAATAAACAGGGTCTTCTTGATTTGCTATAAGAACAGTAGGGGTAGCTGCAATCCGTTAGTTGCTCCATCTATGCATTCTAGTTAGAATATGTGGCATACGTTGTAGAGATTGGGGTTCAATGATAACTTTGGAATAGGAGGAGATTAGGTTCGTGGGGGAGGTGACTTGGCGAGTAGAATGGGAAGCTTGGTGAGGCTGCGATGGGTGCATGATTAGTGGGCCAAATAACAGTTTGGGTCATTTAAATAAAAAAAATATTTTTAATTTTGTGCTCAACAGACTGGCCGCACTAACGCCTTCTAAATTTACCCCTCCAAAAATTGCTTTGGGTGCATCAAATTTGAAATGGGATCCCTCATTTCTCATTTGACCTTTATATTATGTGTAGATTGTGAGAGTGATGAGTGTACATGTAGGCATGTCATTGTCCTAGAAATTCATTAACACGCCAAAATATAGTGAAATGCCACCCTATTAACTCAATCTCGTATAATGATCGTTGAATTCAATCATGCCATATTAGAAAGATGTTTAAAATGTAGTGGTTAACACGACTAAAACGTTAAAAGAACCAGTGATATTTGAATTGTAATTTTACGGTTATCATATATTTATAAGCTAGATAGAAATTTAAATTAAGTATCAAAATACAATTAAAATAATCAAAATATGAAAATTCAAGTATCAAAACACCAAATAAGTACATAAGGGAGATTCGGTGGCCAGCTAATCGTTGAAAAAGTCATATGATTTTCGGAATTTAGGTTCGTATATGTTTTTAATTTAAAAAGATACAACAAATGTACTTAGTGTGATTGATTATGATTCTTGCTTTTCTTTGAAGTGGTCATGGATCGATTCCCAGTATCTGTCTTTTTATGAATAAATAAAAAAGTAATAATTGTGAAGACCAAAATGTTCTTCCTACTTTCACTCTTGTTGCAGAAAATTTGAAATGGAGCAATAGTTTCCCTCTACATGCTATTATATATTTTGTAGATTTAGGTGAGATTTTCTGTATGATGTGTTAACTACATGCTAGAGGTTTCCCAGGCAAATTTGTGGGATGGATTAAAAGTTGTTTGTCCAATACAACTTGCACTGTTAACGTAAAGAGGTATGTTAGGACATTTTCAAGCTAGGAAAGGGATGAGACAGGGGATCCCTTCTCTCCATATCTGTTTGCAATCTCTATAGAAGTGTTGAGTTGTATGCTAAGCATAGCCACAACTATAAAGGTACTACCATGTCACCCCAGCGCCAAAGAATATGACTATCATATATGTATTTTACAGATGATTTATTATTTTCACCAAGGGGACAAAAGAAGGATTAAGGGAATCGGGGAGATCATTCAACAGTTCTATAAGGTGTCTAACCTTAGATGCAATCCCATGAAAAGTGAAACATTTTGTGTTGGCTTGAGTAGTGAGTGTAGAGCAAGGCTATTAGAAATGTCAGGTTTTAAGGAAGGGATTTTGCCAATAAGGAAAGAGTGTTGCCAATAAGATACCTAGAGTTGCCTTTGATATATAGCAGGAGAGCTCAAATCGGCAGATTGCTCAGTTTTGGTAGATAAGATAACAAAGAAAATTCAGGATGACAATCAAGGATCATGTCTTATGCCTCTTACGCGTCTAAGGTAATTCAAGCTATTGAACGAAAATACTTTGATTTCTTATGAGAGTGTGAAGATCAAAAGAAAAGAGCTAAGATGAAGTGGAAGGAAGTTGCTCTCCGTAATAAAGAGGGAGGACTTGGGAATAAGCATGTTTGGCTAGCTAGACATATTTGGAATATCATATTTGATTTAAAAAAAAATACTATGGATTGCTTGGTATAGACTAAGAAGTATCACTATGTGGGAGTCCACAACCTATGGATCCTGGGCATGGAATAAAATTCTTAAGCTAAGGGAGAAATTGGCTTATATGGTTCAAATCACAGACCAAGGAGTCAAGTGGAAATGGAGTGTTAATGTTGACATACAAGATGAAGTAGGTTTGGGAAACTCTCACGACAAGACATGAAAAGAAGAACTGATACAGACTTCTATAAAAGCAATTTCATATCCCAAGAACTCTTTCATCACTTGGTTAGTGATGTTGTACAAAATAAATACATGTGATAAACTCCAATGATGAAAATCTGGAGTGAATAATTGTGTTCATTGTGCTTAAAGTATGAAGAAGTTCGTGATAATGTTTTTTTGGTTGTCAATATGTGGGAGAGGTTATGCAGATAGTGTTCCCTCCTGGATGGTATTATCAGCAACAAGATGGATGACAACAGGATTTAGATTCAGTGTGTTGAGAAATGCAAATCTGGAAGACTCTCGTGGAATCTGGTTATAAGCAAAGCGTTGTAGACGTGTGTTTAATTGGAAGAGTTAATAAGGAACCCCCGGAAATTGGTACAGATGATGAAGGAGATGCCGGAGATGAAGACTGCAGCCACAATTAGAAGACGTTGTAATTTTTTTTGTAGAATCAGTAAATTAGGTAGGTGAAGATCAGAAGAAGTGTATTGTGTTTGGATAATAAAAAGATGATGAGTCAGTGAGTCATGGTTATAGCATACGTCTGAAAGGAATGCACCCACGCAGCATCCATCCGCCGGACAAATTTACTAGTCACTAACCCCAAATTAAGGCATTGTTTAATCTTAATTAAGGCACAAAACAACACTACAAAACAGAAGGCTCGCAGTGGTATTTACCTTAGCCGCTACGTACTTTGAGCGCCATCTAGCTACTAGCTAGACATCCATCCTTTCTTAATACTTACAATTTTAATCAATTAAAATTCCCCCTAAATTATCGATCTTCCCTGCAATTATTGTAATCAATTAATATATTTTAAAAAGAAGCATATATCTATTGCTAAGGAAAACGTTCGTTCGCAAACACTGTCGATATTAACATGGGAAATCTCTGTCTCAGTGTACCTAACCTAACAATCATCCCAATGTTCCAGATTTATCACTCCATCCAGGATAGGGACATGTACCTTTGTTGTATATAGAGTTCATAAATCATAATTAAGAAATTAATTAGTTCTACATATGGCAGAGCCGGCGTCTTAAGAAAATATGGTTAATGCCTTTGAGACGGCACAAGTTCATCCACCAGTATGCATACTAGTATAATACAATACCATCTTCGGTTCATGCATTAGGTTAGATGACTAATACCATATTTAGCGGGTAGATCCTCTTAATTACTTGCAAAAGGACACTAATTAGATTACACATTCACATGAATTTATTAAGTTAGAAGAAATTATATGCACTCATTGACCAAGTATATATAACCCAAATGATACGCTACGTATGATGACCGAGTTGTTATGTTCGTAGTTTTGATTCACATAATCTCCTCTCAGAGGGAATTAAATGTCGTTATGATTGATGGCCGGTTTGTGGTGCATGCAAAGATGCAAACCATCTTTATCCCGTATATCAACTAGTTAAAATATCGTTGTAACCATGATAATAGGAAGAAAAAAAATATGCACGAAAATCGCATATAATATAAAAATAAAAATCTGTACTACACATATATATACAAAAATACTAACTAATACAGGTATTAAACAATTACAGGCAATGTATTCATCGGAAAAACACTAGCGGCGACGTAGTTTTAAAGGCGGATATGTTATATGTATAGTTGTATACAAAACTTACAGAAAAATATGCACGCCCGCCGTTCCCAGATTCCTAAGAAATAGACCCCAGAAGAAAACAAAATCATTACTAATAAAAAAACACTAATAAACAGATGAATTATTGATAATAATAATAATAACTAATAATAATTGAAAAACCCCTAGAATTTTCAGCTGAGGGTTAAGCAATCTATTCATAACTAATTCTGCCTAACGCTAGCTGATCAAACCAATCTTCTTTTCTTGTCCTCTTCCTCCCTCCAACATAGATCTATTCATCCCAAAAAGCGACACACTTTTAATTCATTTCTGATTCACACAACAATATATATATATACACAAACGTGTTCACCCGCCAAACGTCACTCTACATTCCCAAAGCCTCTGCCGTGCCCGAGAAAAAGCCTTGACGTACGTCCTCACCAAATTCAAATCAACCCATCCAGGGAAAGAAGAGCAAAAAGATCGAAGAGATAGAAAAGAAGAAAAAAGTTAGCTTCATCTCCTCAATCCAATTCTAATATAATCCCCCCCAAAGAGAAGGGTTAGCGGGAAAACTAACTTCAAAAAGAGGGCCAAAGCCCAAAGCTCTCTATCTATGGCGTCTTCCTGCATAAACAACTGCATGAACGACGTGGCAGTCCACCTGCCGATCCGGCGGCTGGGCTCCATCCACTACGTGCGGCTCTCCGAGCAGCCGCCGCTGCTCGGAGGGTCCGGAAGGTTCGCGAGCTTCGAGGAGCAGTGCGGTCGGACCGGGCTGGGCCACCCGAAAGTGGTGGACAGCGTGTCGTGCAGGCAGCTGTACCTGAGGAGCTACACTTTCTCGAGGAAGGAGAGCTTCAACGACAGGACCAAGCGTCGTATTGGGGAAGTCGCGGAGAGCGTGAAGAAGCGAGGGTTAGGGTTCCGGCTCCTGCCAGCTGGTCGCGAGAAGAAGGCGGAGAAGAAAGGGAAGAAGGTGAAGAAGGGGGTGGTGGTGAGGAGAAGATGGACGGCGGTGATGTGTTTGGGGAAGGCGAGGAGGGTGACGTGTAGGGCTGTGATGAAGGTGGTGAGGCGACTCATGATGTCTTGCACTACCAGGGTCGATACGGCAGCGGATGGGGATTGACGCCCGCCCCCGGCTCAGTAGCTAATTAATCGCTGAATTCACAGGATAATTAATGGAGAGTATGTTTTTCTTTTTTAATTATTATACAGGTGAATAAACTATATTATCGTGTATGCATGGGTGTTATACATACAGAATTAAAAGTTCGTGTTGTGAATGAAAAAAACTAGAGATTTTCTATTATAATTCGTATACTTTTTTTCTCGATCTCTCTTTTGTTTTGCTGTTCATAATTTGAGTAGTAAAGGGCGTAAGGGGCGGGAAATATTTATAATATTGGCGCGCCTATTACATTATTGTATTAGGATTATATACAATTTGGTTTGACATATATATATACGTTCCATTATGATTTTGGTATGATTATTGCTAAAGTTTACATCACCCGAAGTCCAACGGCACCGGTGATAGCCTGATAGGGGAACGTCACAGGCACAGTCGCACAGGCTTCTTCTTTTGCCGTCCGATCCCTTTCGCACTGTGAAAGACTGAAAGTGATTAGGGCGGCATTTGGTTGGCGGGTGTTTAAAGAAGTGTCCTTTGGTGGCGTTTCAAACTAGTAATCCAAAGAGTGGTACCAAATCAGAGGATTAATTGCAAATCTGGTTGCTTTTTTTTTTTTTTTAAATAGCATCATATCAAGGTGGTATGATTTGTACGAGGGATAGCGAAAGATGCGATTTTGTAGATTTTGTAGTTTTGATTTTATATCCTAATATTTTTTCTCAAAAAGTATAATTAAAATAAATTTAAGAGAGTAATTGAATGGGAAAAAGAAACTGGATAACCATTATCATATAATCGAAAGATTTCTTTTCCATGAGATGATAACGCTAAAAAGGCTTTTTTTTCTTTTTTCTTTTGGAGAAATGATAAAACTAAAAGTTGATAATGATTGTTGCCATTCATGGGCAAACTGAAAAAATTGATCATATATGTGTTTCGTGGATGTCGTTGGTCATGGGTTCATACGTATTTTTATACAGTACAGATTATACAATACGAAGCGATGGGTATACCAACAAAGCATGCAGCTGTTGTTGTGATGTCTATACATGAACAATTTATCAATATAAAGTAAGCATGCAACTGTAACTGTTGGGTTTGGGTAATACCAATTGTTGTATTATTATGTATACAGATCCACTTTTGCAGTGGGTCAAAAAGGAGCGTAGAGAAGAGGAAAGGCTGCTAAATATATATTTGGCGTGGAGGTGGAGGGCAGTCACGCCCGTAAAGTAAAGCAAAAAGAAAGAAAGCTGGCCTGGGACTGGGAGGGAGGCGCAACCGATCGAGACTATTTGCAGAATATGATCACAAAATTAGTAGTTGGGATCTAGTCATCCACCTTTCTTTCATTTCCCGCCTGTGATTTACAAGTCCAATCAAACTCGATCAGGACGATAAGAAAATCAGGAAAATCCAATTAGGAGTTTGGCGTCACAGTTTCCATTCATATTCTATATATATATATATATGGTTCAGGCTAACGTACGTTATATATATATATAAAAATGTATAAATGGAGAATGGAATGGAATTATATAGGTACAACAGTAGTCAGTAGAGACTGTACAGCAGAGACGTAACGTATTAATCCAGTCCCTGGACAGGGAAAAAGCAATGGCTGCAATTTCATTTCTCCTGTACTTAATAACTAAAAATCGCCGTCCGTCCACCAAAAGAAATTTTAATAATTCAACGTAAAAGATAAAGGAATTTTGATTGATTACGTTGTCTTATAGTTTGCACGGTTTTCTTGGATCTTTATGTTCGGCGGTTTGGGGGGTTTGATGCAAAGTAAACTCTGCATGTTTGCTGTGCTCAATTAAAAAAAAAAACAAAAAATGAAAACCTAAACTCAACTAGTATATATTGTTGCGTCTGAATCCAATATTATCATATTCAGCTGCTTGCGTGTATTCGAGTTGATTAAACTTGATTTTCTAGAAATAATCAAAACCTTTACGACTAACGAAAATATATAATAATAATAATAATAATAATAATAATAATAATAATAATAATAATAATAATAATAATAATCGAAGCTTGTAAACATGACTAACTTCGAGGAAGACAAAATAAGGGATTTTATATATTTTGATGACAAGAGTTCCAATCCAATATGAAAGCAGGAAATACGTAACCCCAACAACGACATACGGTGGAACCCATGTAGAATATTAAAACTATATATGTATTAACTAGTCACGGACCCGGCCAGTTGGCCGGATTCAATTGTCAATCAATCAAATAACAGTAGCAATTTGTATTCGAGTTACGTATTATATAAGAAATTTTAAATTCTTTAAACATTCAAATCGATTGGGAGAATAAGAGAATCTAAATTTTTAAAATTCTTCAACAATTCAAAAGAATGAACATTGTACTTTTTTCCGACATAGTAATGACTAATCGACTAAAATCGTTTTACAAAATGAAAGAAAGCTCCATGCAAGGGAACCGACTCCTAAATACCAATTAAAATGACCCTTATAATTACTTCTTATCGTCAGAGATTAGTGCATGTTTTATTTTTTGCGTGTTTGCATTTCCTCCGGCATGAGCACCAACCTCATCGTCACCATTGATAATGTCTTCATATCTATTAGCAACACATTTATCTCCAATATCAATTGTTTCTTCCTTCTTCTCTTAGATTTCATTTATCTCTTCCTTCTTTTCCTCCATTTCATTGAAAACAAATATTGGATGTTAAAATATATTTACAATTATAAATCATTTTTTCATTGAAGTAGAATTTACCACGGTTACTAACATTATCAAGGATTTGTTCTTTCTCCCCATCGCCAGTCTTTATACCATCCTTATAAACAATGTCTTTCTTTTTCTTAACATAACCAACATCTCATCCACCATTAGCAGTTTCATTGTTGTTCTCCTGCATGGACATTATTAATTTATATATTTGACACTAAAAAGTAAAACATGGTGTGGTTTTATTGGATCATGATTGGTCAATATATGTTATAGATAAAATTGTAGGCGTAAAATATCATATCCTCCATATTTTCAAGCAGGCAGTGAAAGAAATAAAATGGTATTTTCCAACTTTGCAGCAAGCTCAATATGACCATTAAATAACTAAATCCCAATTCTATTAATTAAACCCACATCTCCCTTCATCCAAGCAAATTCTATTAATTAAACCTACAACTCCCTTCATCCGGCCGTTGCATGATATCACTGAAGATTAAATAATATAAAGTATGAAATATATATGGTATAAATATCCAAATCCAATACAAAATAGCATAAATCTGTAATTAATATTGATCGTCATTTTGATTTAAATAGAATTTACCTTGATCAAGTAGGGAATATCTACAGTGGTTTGCTCTTCCTCATCATTCCCTATATTGATAAATGGGTACTCACTTGTTGGATTAGCAATGGTGTAATCTGTGAGCTTGATGCCGAACTACAATGTCATTCCCTCCATTTGTAGGAGATGAGCAGGTGATGGTCCTCTAATCCTATCATTGTCTTGAAATAGTCTTTCTGCCGACATTCTAAAAAATCGAGCTCCCACTCTATCCGTAACAACAAAGTCAGCCACTCCTGTTTTGTACGCAACTCAAAAGTTGTTCCCGAATCTGTATAAAGATGCAATTACATAAAAAACACTAAAAATTGTTGAAGTATACGTTATTCTTAAGTGGTAAATACAAAATATCTAAATTATTCAATAAATAATACGAAAATAGTCTCATTAAGTATGGTAGGTGGGTAGAAGAGAAGCATAGCCCTATTCTCATTTTCATTTTTTTATATAACACACAAATCTATTGGAATTTCTTTATGTTAAGCATATCTAATTTGATATTTTAATATGTACTTAAGCTTTCCGCTTGTATTAGTACCATGCATTGCTAATTATTAAGGGGAATGTTCTGTTTTGATGCATAAGTAATATAATCTTTGAATTCTATGAATAAATAATATTTTATAAAATTAAATATCAAATCACTTAGTATGTAGATTCCTTTAATGAAAAATACCAGATCAAATTTCATATTAATAATGGTTGCATTACCTTGATGTTGTCGTTTTTAATTTCTTTGTACAATTCCCATAGAAGTACTCGTTGGAGTCTTCTTCGAGTTTTTGTTGACAGGTTACGTATCTCGTATAGCACCACCCATTATTCATCTTGACAACTTTGCATTTGATGGAATACATATTTCCCTATATATTACAGAAAGTGTTAGTATATGATAGTTAATGGCTGGTTAAATCGAAATTGATGCTTACCTCTTCTCCATCTTTCATTTTTAATTGATTGAGCTCATATATTGTTTTGCTTGGGATTGACTGTTGAGTTTTTCCTGTGCTTTTCATCGAAGGAATTGGTGCATTGTGGTCACTTTATTCACCCAAAAACAATGTAATTCATGTCTATTTGTTCTTTGAAGGTCAAACTTATAAAGCATAAACAAATACGAAGATTTAATTTTTGAGAATTTCACCATGGGCCAAAATTAATGACTTGCGGAATTCTTGGATTCGCCAGCAGCAAGTTCGCTCCAGTTGAGCGGAAGGTGTTCTAGACTGCAAATTTGGTGATGTTTGAATTATTTGTCATTATTTTTTTTTTTTTTTTTGCAAATGCTTAATTTAGATGTGTCCTTACCATTATACTGATCAACATATAATGACGCAATGACCAGGTTGAGTGGGTGATCACCAGCATTTGCAAGGATGACATTTAATTGGGTAACTATCCTACCAAAAAAATTTACCTTGATAACCAATCCCACTATATCCAAATTGTATATTAGATTTGCTATTTGAGTAAAGTACGCATGTTATTTTAAACTAAAGGCCAAAAATTACCTACTCCGGGAAGTTTTAGTTGGAGCTGTTTCCAGGTAACTTTTCCAGTGAGTCTAGCATGAGATGTCAGTAAATCAGAATACCGAATTAGCTGGCCAACAACATCTGTGGAATGTAAAAATTTAAAAGCTAATGTATTT